TCTGTGTAGATTCTTAATTCTATAGTAACATAATTTCTCTATCATTATTATACTTGATTCTGCTGGAGAGCTAATTCCTTTTATTACCTTTAACTTATGGAATTTGTCTGGCTAGTCTCACATACTTATTCTTTTAGTGGATTTTTCTTTTCCTCCCCTGTTTTTCTGTACTCAATCTTGGCTGCCACAATCAGACAGAAAACGCAAGGACACTTTTTTCTTACATCTGTAGTGGAAACCTTAGCAGCAGACAATAACCAGATGCATTGTATATATTTATTTACTTACTTATTTAGTCAGTACTGGGGTTTGAGCTCAGGGTACCATTTGAGCTCAATGTAAGGGTACCCCCAACCCTTTTTGCTTTAGGTTATCTTTCAGATAGGGTTGTCTCAAGTTTGCCAGGGCCAGCCTGAGACACCAATCCTTCTACCTGTGCCTCTGGCTTGCACCACCACACCTGGCTTGTGGTGAACAGGCCCGGGATCCCAGCCTACTCATGCATCTTTGGTTTACTTTGCCCCAGCAGACGGATTTTTCAGAACACTAGTTCGGAGGCCTTCAGGACAGTCTGGCTAGGCCGTCGTTAGCCCCTAGGCTGTCCCAACGCCGCGACCGGCCATTACAGTCAGATCCTTTCTTACCTGAGGCCCAGTGACCACCATCTTCACCTGACACGGCCCAGTTATCCAAGGCCGCTTAGCAACGGCGTAGGCGATATGGCGCGCTGAGGGGGCGTGACCCCGGTCGCGGAGCGACCTCCGCAGCGACGTGATGACGACAGAAAGGCGACACCTGCTTGCCACGCGAGGCAGGGGCTGGTGGGTAAAGGGGCGGAGCTAATGCAGGACCGTACCATTACCACGGATAAGAAGTAAATCCAAACACAGCAAAGGTTCATTTTTCGGCAAAAGGAATGTAATTTCATTATGTTACTTAATAACAGTTATTGTTAAAAACTGACAGAAATGGTAGATGCCAAGGTTCCGGGCGGAGAATTCTGAAAGCTGTTGGTGGCAGGGGTGTGGAGGGGAGGAACGCCCCAGGGCGCAGGCGCAGAACGTCAGGGCCGGGAGAAGGGCGGGGCGTGGGTATTGGAAGCTCGGGTCTGGGGTGACCAGAACCGCTTTCCTGACGGCGCGATGCGAGAGGATGGTAGGCCCGGGAAGACTTCCCGGAAGAGGATAGGCATGTGTAATGGTGAGAATGGTAACAAGGAAATGTTCTTTCTCGTTTATGAACCCCACATCTTCGAGCTGCTACGGTGTCAGGCCTGAGCGTCGAGGATACAGCGTTGACCTGCTAACCCTGGCGTCCTCTATGCGTGAGACATTAGCCAGATCCTACCAAAATGTAAAAATATAAACTTAGGGAGTTGTGAGGGGCCTGAGCTGGTAAGAGGGCGCCCCCGTTCAACAGATCTCAGTTAAGACTGATACTCATTAAGACAGGGGCTGGGGAAGAGCATTGAGGGCAGAGGGACCTGCTTGTGTCAAAAGAGCCCTCACCACACACAGGCTCGCCTACCATCGCCATGAAAATGGGAAACCAGACATTTGCATCCACAAACGGGCCACCCGTCTGCCCCCGAGGAGCGCTTCATGCCTGCCCTGCAGAGGTTGTGGATCTGTACACAACGCCGCTGCAGTCCGAAGGCTCAGACCAGTGCAGACGTCAAACAGTTTTGATTTCCATTTGTTTTTAATATGTACAGAGTAGACGATTAGGATATTAAAATACACACACACACGTACACACAATTCGCCTTGCCTTTTCACAACTACCGTCACTGCAGATTTAAAAAGATGAAGAAAAGGATGATTGGAGAATTATTCGCCGTCGCCACCGCTACGGAGCTACATCCCCAGCATAGAAAATTGTCTTCTTTAGGATGCTGCGTTTTGGTGCAAAATTGGGTGAATACAGTCTGCAGTTAGGGATACCGATGGAAGTGATGTAGAGTGGGTACAGATCTCGGGATCCTTCTACCTGTTGTTCAGTGTTTGCTAGAAGACCAAAAGAGCACCTGCCCAGAGCATGTCTCTCACGTTGGAGGTTGTAGAAACAACAGGGATTTAAGAGTAACTGCTATCAAGTTCAGTTCCTGGCTGTGACTTGTTCCAGTTGGGAGACCTTGGGCAAATTGTTAATCTCTCTGAGTGAATGTTTCCTATCTGTAAAGCAAGGTTAATAATTTCTAAATGCTGGTTTATTATAATGAGGGTTGTAGATAATACATATGACATTTGGAATGTGCCCAATAAACATAGGTGCAGTATAATTTTCCTCCATTTTTATTTTCTATCTTGATGAAAAGCTTTGTGAATTTACAATCTTAGATCAAATGACTGTTTCACAGCCCATAGCTTACTGTGTACTTTGCACAGTATTGTCATGTTTCTGACAATTCTTGTTTTTTGCTTTGAGGAGTTGGGAGATTTAGTCCTCTCCTTGTGTTCCATATTTGGCAATTAACAAACACTATTAAGATGGAAATCAGTTTCCTTCAATGTTCTCAGTACATGTCAAAGCTTAACACTAGTTCTTTTTGACCCAGCTTTGACCTCCAATAGGTCAATGTTACTGGTGTTTTTTTCCATGGTCTCTCAGCTTCATCCCCATAATTCCTGGGGCAGGAGGCTGGGGTGAACAAAAAAAATGGAAGAAAAACAGTGGGACTGGGTTAAAAGGAAAAGGCACATACTGATCATAAGAAAGTTCCTCCTGTTGGTTTGGGACACCCAACCCAAAAAGCTCATAAGGCCACCCTGAAGTATATACCACAGATTTGTGAAAAAGAAACCAAAGAAATAAGGCAGCATAATCCATCCCATAAGAGAAGGGTGTCCTGAATTCATGAATTGGCATTATATATTCACATTATGTTCAGTGACAATTTCCTTTAGAAATGACTAATCATGAACACAAGGAGCTCCAGGGGGTAACCAGGAAACTGGTTTGCAAGGCCTGGGCTCCTGACCTGAAGTGGAGCACAGCATGAACTTGGCAGTCCACCCACACCATAAGTAAAGATCCAGTTGAATGTTCCTTCTTCAAGACCTCCCCCTTTTAATATATGGAATACTTCACAGATTTGCATATCATCCTTGACCAGGAGTTATGCTAATCTCTTTACTGTTGCAATTTTAGTATATGTGCTTTTGAAGTAAACATTCCAGACCCCTTTTTATCACCACTTGGCTTACTGTCAGTCATTTCTTGCCTTGGGTCTCATTAGAGATGGTAGTCATTCTGCTTGAACCTAACCATCCAAGTGAGGGGCAGACTGATACAAAGGTTACATGTGAAGCAGTTTATATAGCTGGAAGCAGTTTATATAGCTCAAAGACCCATTTGTACCCTATATTGGAGATGTGGACTTCAAGCAAGAAACAACTTATCTGACCTAGTTTCTTCACTGGCAAAAGGGGATAGTAACAATTCCTTTCTTAGGGTTATTTGGATGAAAATTGCTAACAGATATGAAAGAGTCTGGCTCAGAAATTGACCCAACCTGGACAGGCATTCTAAAGCTAACTTTGGCCATTTGAGCAAAAAAAAAGAGTGTTTTGTTAAAAGGCTCAGAAACTCTTGAAATTATTGGGATAGGCAGAGATTGAGATTTAGGCCTTCAGGAACAATACCAGAGCACAGGTCTGAGGAGGAAGCTTCTGTACTGGCAGTTGCTGAGGATCTGTTGCTGTGGCCTGTAGGCACTACTACACTAGGAACTCAGTTTTGTGGGAACCATTACCATAGCTGCCACCCAAAAGAGAGCCCCTGGTCCCTTCCATGGTTTAAAGTGTGGCACAGTTGCAACTCTGAGTTATATGCATGGCTCTAGCTCAGGGGAGGCTGGGAAAGTCAGTATCTAACATTTTCAGCAACTCTAAGTGAAGGTAATTACTGCCCCCCCATCAAGGTTCATAAAGTAGGGGATTCCCTGAATATTAGAAGGGGTTCAGGTGCCAGGCAGCTAAACCCAATAACAAATCTCCAACACTATCCACAACAAAGACCTCATCAATACATAACAATAATAGATGTTGAGCAATACCCTATAGGCTTGTCATTTCTCATCATTTTACACAATGAGATCAAAGTCCAAACACCAAAGAGTCCCTCTAGTAAAGAATGCTGGTTGCCTACCCTATGTTCTCCCCTTCTCCCTTAGCATCAGAAGCCCTTTGCTGTTAGGGGTTAGCATGTGTCTAGGCTCCATTACAATAGGGATGCGTGGCTAATGAAATGTCAGCAGAAGTCTTTGGGTGGGGCTTCTAGAAAAGCTCTTTATCCTCTTGCTCCTCCCCCTGCCATCTTACTCCTCCTTTTTACTTGTCCAGAACACAAAAATTGTGGCTAGAGTGCCAATAACTACCTTTTAATAATGTAGCAACCCTACTATTAGAATCTGTTAGGATTTGTACCTGAAATGTCCCTTGAAGGCTCATGTGTTAAAGGTTTGTTTGCCAGATGGTGGAGATTTGGGGAAGAGACTATCATGAGGGCTGACTTTATCAATGTATTAGTCCATTAATGGATTCGTAATTTGGTATTGAGAGGTGATTGAAACTAGGAGATAGAGCCTGGTTGGAAGAAGTAGGTCACTGTGAGTGTGACTTTGAAGGTTTATTTTATCTCTAGCCCCTTCTACTCTCTCTGCTTCCTGGCCATCATGAGGTGAGCAGTTTTCTTATGCCATGCCCTTCCTCTATGATATTCTACTTACCTCAGGCCCACAACAATGGAACTAGCTGACCATAACTGAAACCTCTGAAGCCATGAGCCAAAATAAAATGTTCTTCCTTTAAGTTGCTTTTCTTGGGTATTTTGTCACAGTGACAAAAGAAAAAAAACCTAACACAGAAGCCATTCATCAAGAGGGGTACAACAGAAATACAGAGTATCTGATGATCTGTTCCAGCAGTCTGGGCCCATCTAACACTGTCCTTTCATTCTGTGGGAAAAAAAATACACCTGTTTCTTGTTTAAGCATCAAGCTCATTGCATCTTACTAATGGCTGAAGGTAAACCCTACTATTACCAGATGGTCTCAGTGGCTTCACAGCTACTTCTCTTCTAGTAGTCCAAGATGTCATCATCCTCAGGTGCATAGGAAAATCCCAGGAAGGCACTTGAAGACCCGGAGCTGCTGGCCAGAGTGTCGGGGATGCAGCCAATAGACTTGGACACAGCTTCCTGGGTGAACTCTGGGTCAAAGTGTTTCAAGTCAGCAGGCCCTGTCTGTCAATAGAAACCAACCATGAGAAAGGAGCACCGTGTTCATAGCTGCCAGAGAAGCCTGAAGCCTCAGAGAGGGATATCAGGCCTGCCTTCCAAGTCATCCATACTCAACTGTCACTGTCCCATGCATTTATATTAATCATCTCAGTCCATGTGACTGATTCCTCTAACCCTTTGACACCTTGCCTGCTCCACACCAATCCTCAGACAAGTCAGTTGATCAATACATACTTCCTGGAGGCTTACCAGGCACTGATAATGGCTCTGGGAATATAAGAGAACAAAATAGAGTGAATCTCTGATTTCAGGGAACTTACATTATGTAGGGGATAGAAGAAGTGATAATAAACATGTATGCAAGTAGATAATTGTATGTAGATAAATGTATATAAGTAGAATATTAATAGGTTCTAGATGAAGGTAAAATAGGTGAGTATAGTAGAGAGAGACTTGGACTGCTCTAGCTATTTTGGAGGAAGATCTGTGTGGGAGATTGCAAAAATGATCACAGATTTCCCATTTCCCATCCAAAGGTAGAGTCTATTTCTCTATCTTTTTTTTTAGTGGTAGTAGGGTTTGAACTCAGGGCCTCACACATACTAGGCAGGCACTCTACCACTTGAGCCACTTCACCAGCCCTCTTCATCTTTTTAATATGTGTTCACCAGGTAATTTGCTTAAGCCAATAGGACATTGCCAAATGTGATCCAAGCACAGGCTTGAAAACTGCACCTTGGGTGTTGTCTATTTTGCTATGCTTGGGACCTGTGAACAAGCCCAGACTGGAGAGGCCTCAGGAAGGAGCCATGAGTGAGGAAATTCTAGATCATCAACTGTCAGCTGTCACATTGCTGACCACAGACATGAGAGGGCTCTGCAGAGTGCTGACTTGACCCAGATTGAAAAACATTCACCTCGCTGACCCATAGAATCTGAACAAAACAAAAGTTTGTTGCTTGGACTGAGTGTTGGTGGCTCGTGCCTGTAATCCTAGCTACTCAGGAGGCAGAGATCAGGAGGACTGTAGTTCAAAGCCAGCCCAGGCAGATAGTTTGTGAGACCCTACCTTGAAAAAACCCATCACAAAAAAAAGGGCTGGCGGAGTGGCTCAAGGTGAGTTCAAACCCCAATACTGGAAAAAAAAAAGTTGTTTGAAGCCACCTAGTTTTGGGGTGACTTGTTACACAACAAGAGCTGCAGATCTGCTTGAGATGCAAGTCTTGGACTGTAGAAGCAAATAGGCCATGACTTCCAGCTTCTCAGAAAGGTTCCAGGGATCTGGAGGTGTGGCTCAAGAGGTAAAGCCCCTGCCTAACAAACGTGAAGCCCATAGTTCAAACCCCAGTATCCTCCCTCCAAGGAAAAAAAAAAGTCCCAGGGTGCAGTGGTTCCAGCCTACGGCTGAGTTCCAAGAGTGGAACGTGAATTCCAGACCAAGCCCTGGCCCTGGCCCTTGTGAACTTTAAAGCAAGTATTACACTCATTCCAAAACAGGACAAGGACATAACAAAAAGAGAATTATTGACCAATCTCTTTATGAACACAGATGCAAAAATTCTCAATAAAATACTTGCAAACTGAATTCAACAACACATTAAAAAGACCATACACCATAATAAAATTGGTTTCATTCCAGGGATAAAAGAATGGTTCAACGTACATAAATCAATAAATGTAATCCAGCACCTAAACAGAATCAAGGACAAAAATCATATGATCATCAATTGATGCAGAAAAAAACCTTTGACAAAATTCAACATCCTGTCATGATGAAGAAACTAGGAATAGAAGGAATGTACTCAACATACTAAAGGCTACATATACAAACCTATAGCCAACATCATAAAATGGGGAAAAGCTGAAACCATTTCCTCTAAAGTCAGGAATGATGTAAGGATGTCTACTCTCCCCACTTTTATTCAATTTAGTACTGGAATTGCTAGCCAAAGCAATAAGGCAAGAGAAAGAAATAAAAGGAATTCAAATAGGGAAGGAAGAAATCAAATTACCCCTATCTGCAGATGATATGATTCTATAAAGACCCAAAGATTCCACCAAAAAACTAGACCTGATAAACACCTTTAGCAATGTAGCAGAATATAGAATCAATATATAAAAATCAATAGCTTTTGTATATACCAACAATGAACAGGATGAGAAAGAAATCAGGAAATCAATTCCATTCACAATAGCTTCAAAAATATAAAATACCTAGGTATAAGTATGTAGGTTCCTAAAAATAGACCTACTTTATGACCCCATCATACTACTCTTGGGTATATATCCGAAGGAGTGTAAACCAATATACAAGAGAGACGCCTTCATACCCATGGTTATTGCAGGTCTCTTTACAATAGCCAAAATGTGGAAACAGCCAATGAATAAAGAAAATATGGTATGTATACACACACACACACACACACACACACACACACACACACACACACATACACCCCCCAGGGAATATTACTCATTAGTAAAGAAAAATGAAACTATGTCATTTGCAGGAAAATGGATAGAATTAGAGATTATCATGCTTTTGAGATAAGCCAAGCCCAAAAGGCCAGATCTCACATGTTCTCACTCATTTGTGGAACCTAGACCTAAAACAATGATGGTGAGGAAGAAGAAGGAGGAAGAGGAGGAGGTGGAAGAAGAGGAGGAGAAAATGGGACATGAATGTATATGGGGGATCAATGAAGAGGGGAAGGAAAGGATGCTGAGGGGTAAGGAGGATGGAAGTGCACTGTATTTATACATATGAAGACAGTATAATCAAACCTACCAAATGCTGTTTGGAGAGGGGTAGAATGGGAATATAATGGAGGGGTGAACCTGTTCACGTTGCACTGTATGGATATTTAGAATTATCACAACAAAATTCTCTCATATTTTAATGTATGATAAATCAAAAATTTAAACATTTATAAAGATAAAATGTTCAGAAAAACTGCATCTGAATCAAACATGTGCAGACTTTTTTCTTGTTATTATTTCCTAAATAATGACATTTGGATATCATTTACATTTTGTTAGGTATTAGAAGTAAACTAGAGATGGTTTAAAGTGTATGGGAGGATATACAGATATACATAGGTCATATATATGTAAGGGACTTGGGAACTCTACAGATACTGAGGGACAAATATGTACAGATACACACAGAGGGGGAAAGAGAAAGAGAGAGAAAATTCTGGAAGTCTGCCAACAGTGGTTTCCCTGGGGTAGTGAGATACTCAGCATTTCCCCACTGCTTCATTAAACTTCTGCTTTACATACTTCCTGCAAGGAATACATATCATTTTTGTTATTGGGAAAAGCTCTCTTTAGGGCATGGCTCTGCTTGGGTATGCTATGTGACACAAAGCACTTTAAAACCTAAAGGCTCTGCCATGAGAGTTATGGTGCTAAAGATACAGGCATGGAGCATAGCTCATCATCACCCCTGGGCTGAGCTACTGGTCAGGACCTGCGGGGTCAGCACCAGTTCTGCCTCTAAATCAGCATGTGCCTCTTGGACTCTCAGAACCCATGTGTATAATGAGAGTTGGCTCAAACACCCTCCAAACTTTCCCAGTCCTGTGAATCCAGAAGCCAAAATCTACAAAGCTGTGACCTCTTACCACGTTAGGGTTGAAGGGTGGAGTCAGCCTCTTGTGGTATAAGTCATCCCAATTTATGGGACTGAAGAATACATGGTTTTTTATCTCCAGCTGCAGGAAGAAGGCACTGGTCAGAAGTAGCCCTCCCCACAGGTGCTTATCCCACTCCTCCACATCCTCCAGAGCCCCAACTCTACCAGCAACCGGCTGTCAACTGCTTGCAGTTCTAGCTGGTTTCCTGGGACCAGAGAGGGCTCTGAAGCTCCCACCTTCTACATCATCCAGAACCCAAACCCTTACTCCCAGAATTAGCTTATTCCACAGCTGTGTACTGAGTGCCTTCTTTGAGCACTGACACTGTGCTGTGCTCTGGAGGCATGTCAGTGAACAAGAGAAGGAGAAGAGACAGCTTGGGGACATCCCCCTCCCCCATTCTGCATCAGCACATCTTGCATTCTTGAGTTTTCCAGAATGCAATCCTGAGAAATAGACCAAAGCAATTCACAAAGGAAGGTTTGAGAAATAAAATTCCAAGAAAGTGGCAGTTTCCCAGAGATCCAGAAGTTAAGGCCCAGTCCTTAATATAATTGACACTTCTTTCCTATCAGCATCAGGGTTGGTACCAACGCCCCCCCTCCTAGTAGAATCCTCCTCTATCAGTGTTTCTCACAGGACGGTTCTCCAACTCTCTGCCTCAGAACTGTCTGCTGGGCTAGTAATACCCAATAAATTGGTAACTCAGGTTACCTCTAAACTGAGGACCGAGGTGGGCAGAGAGATTTCTAGGTACCCTTTTGTCCCCTTTGAATTTTCATCTATGTGAATGTATAACTTACCTTGCAAGTCATAATGTTTTAAGATGCAAACTTCCCTTGGAAGGAGGGGATCTATCTTCAAAGAAGCCCCTGGTTTTTACATTATTATTTTTTATTTTTTTAGTGGTCCTGGGGGTCTTGCGTTTGCTAGGCTGGCGCCCCATTTCTTGAGCCACACTGCCAGCATTTAAGCTGGGGTTAAGGATGGGCAGACAAATGCCCTAAATGTCTTTACACTTCACAGAATCTGGCATGCAGGGCTTTTGGCCTCGAGCTGGTGATCCTCCCGCCTCAGCCTTTGGAATGCTGGGGTTATGGCCTGTACCACCATTCCTGGCAGAGCCTATACTTTAACCTTTGCTTCATATTGTTGTTATAAACAATTTTAGGTGTTATAAATGTAAAGCACAGGTGAAAATATTTGTACAATTTCTGTGTACTTGTGCTAATATTTTAGTAAGATAGATTCTCAGCATTTAGTAAGATAAATTCTTAGAATTTCTGGGTCAAAGGTCTTCCCATGGTTCATTGCCAAATTGCCCCTCCAGCAGGTGTAGCATGACATTCCCTGTGATCATGCCCCTTTTACCCTCTTGCTAATGTACAGTGTTCTAGCAAACATATCTTCTTTTTTTAGTCTGCATTTATTTGATGGTTAGTGCATGGGAGTAGGTCTTCCCTACTCTGAGATTATAAAATCTTCACCTTTCTTTTCTTTTTTTCTTTTTTTGCAGTCCTGGGGGTTGACTTCAGTGCCTTGCACTTGCTAGGCAGGTGCTCTACCACTTGAGCCATTCTGCAAGCACTGTTATTTTCTTTTTTGACACAGAATCTCACCATGTAGACTAGGATGGCCTTGAATTTAGGATCCTTTTGCCTTAACCTTAGAGTGCTGGGATTACAGGTGTATGCTACTTTAAAGTCATGGACTTGCTAAGAGAACAGGCTATGAATTATTTATCTGTATATCTGAAGTGCCTAGCCTGGGATCTGGCAAAGTGAAGTACTCACCTATTTTTGAAAATCAAGTTCAGAGGCCTCAGCAGAAGTCTGAGGAAGCTTCTGAAACTTAAATCAGGTCACATCACTCTCCTGCTCAAAAGACCTGACAGCTCACCACTCCCAGCTTAATTGTCAACTACTCAGAGAGGACCTGCCTGGCCATGCCTGTGTGAACCTTCCTGCCCCCCCCCCCCGCCCATTTATTGTCCATGTCTGCTCATTTTCTTTCTGGCAGTTATCACACTTTGTGATAATTGTATATAACCTTTGGGTTTTGTCAGCTTCCTCCTGCCCCCAAGCCTAATAAGGGCAGAGACCAGTCTGTTAAATCCCTAGCATCTACTTCAATGCCGGCTTTGAATAGTAGGTACTCAGCAAGTATTGGGTAACTAAAAGAACTGAACTACAGAAAGTAGTCTGCTCACAGCAGTAGGGAATTAGGGAATTTCCAGGTGACAGTGATAGCAGAACCCGCGTTTAAAGGGGAGTGGGAGGCAAGTTGATGTGCTTCTGAGCTGTCTCCGCAGGAAGTTGAGACCACCACAGGCACCAGTGCTCTGCTGCAGGTCACCTACAAAGTCTGCCTTGGAGCCCAGCCGCTGCCTCTGGTCCTTGCGGAGAAGGCCTTGCAGGATGTCACAGGCAGCCACCGTCTGGACCCCAGGGATCTGTAGTGGCTGGTGAAGAATGTTCTCATACATCTGGGCCACATCTCTGCTGAAGAAGGGTGGCTGGGGAGAGAGGGAGCCAAGGTGGAGGATCACCATGCAAGTGTGGAATCAGATCTCAGGAAGACTTGGAGCAAGCTGGGTAGCTGGGAGGATTTAGCCAGACCCACTCCTTGTGCCCTGGCTCACCCAGCAGATGGAGAAAGATAGGACTTAGGCTTCTGGTACAGGGGACAGGGTTGCCCTGAAGGCATCAATGGGAGGCCTTCCTTGGCCTCCCAGGGGCTTCCCTTTTGCCAGGTCTCCTAACCCAGTTCATGCTTCATTCCATCCCAGCTTCATAACCATCCTTCGAGAGAGGCTGTAAGTATTCAAATGAGAAGACAAGACTCAGAGCAAGGGAACCACAAAGTCGAGAAGAGAGCCAGGCTCCAAAACATAGCGCTCCTAGCTGCTCTTCCTCCTTCTCTCCTAGCTGGTTCCTCTCCTGCAGGGCCTGCTCCTTCCTCTGCATCATGCCACACCAGAGAATCCCACCCAGAGAAAAACCTGCCTCCACCTGAGCCGGCAGCCCGGGATGGAATCTTAACTCTTCAGCACTGTGACCTCTCCTAGATTCAGTTTCCTCCGCAGTATAAGAAGAACAACTCCACGTTCTTTAGTACTAGACTCCAAAGGCTAATTTTTTTTGTTGTTATTGCTGTTGTTCCTTTGTTTTATTGCAGTACTGAGGTTTGAACTCAGGGCCTCAGACTTGCTAGGCAGGTGCTCTACCACTTGAGCCACACCTCCAGCCCTATCCAAAGATTGTTTTGAGGCACCCAAGATAAGATGGTGTGTTATAAACTGAAAAGTGCTAATGTAGCATTATTGAAAAAAACAGATGTAGTCCTGTATTCTCTTTGTCATCATCTTTTGTCACCTGGGGGTGGAGAGGTGGCTCGCCTAGCTCCCTGTGCAGAGGTAAAGTAATTCACATGGAAAGCAGATCACCCTCAGCTCTCCCAGCCAGACGTCCCCTGTGGACAGCCACACCCCACTCACCAGGCCATGCAGCATCTCGTAGAGGACTGCGCCCAAGCACCACCAGTCCACAGCTCGATCGTAAGGCTCTTTACGAAGGACCTCAGGAGCCAGGTACTGTCAGGGAAACACATGTATTGAATGACCTCAGCCTGGGTTTCTGCATCTGTCAGCAAGGCACTTGAAGGGGAAGATCAGCAGGGGTCCATCCTGCTGTGACATTCACATGCCTGAGCATTCAGCACCCATTCACCAAAAGGCCTGGTTTCTGCAGGGCCCTTTGCCATTTGCAGGGATATCAAGGAGATGGGCAGGACTGCCCTGTATAATGGTACATGCTGTGCACCACATAGACATTTTACCAGCTGAAGGGGTAAAAGGGGCAACAAGCCCAGCTGTGATCCAAGCCCTAACCCTAATTCAGAAGAATATCTGGCTGGAGGCATGACTCAACTGGTAAAGTGCCTGCCTAGGAAGTGCAAAGCCCTGAGTTCAAATCCCAGTACCACTGATTAAAAAAAAGAACAAAAGAAAAAAAAGAAGTACATCTGGTAACTTTATTTTTGCTCAAAGGATCCTTTTTCTAATTAGTCTGCTCAGAGGAAGTTTTTTCTTCTAATTTATACATAAGTGTCTAACAGGTGACCAGTGTCTTAGGACTAAGAAAACCTTGGGTACAGTGAGGAGAGTAAGGGACAGAGTCCAATGACTGTGGTACATACTTGTACTGGAAACATTGTGACAGAAGAGTCAGGAAAGAGGTGACACTTGGAGATGAATGCATGCCTCCAGAGAGAACCTGAGGCACAGCTGTACTCTACCAAACCCAAGGGCTTGGTGACCTCTTAACCTGGGGTCTCTGCCATTGAAGACTGGGGTCTCAGCAAGAGGCAAAGTTATCCTGAGATGTTGTTTGGGTCAGTGGAAGGTCAAAGTGTCCCAGTGACCCTAGTCTTCCTTGGTGTGTGAGCTCAAGCTTGTCATTTGATCTCTCAGATGTGTTGGGCCCACATGTCTCCTACACAAGCCAGGGTTCCACATCCCCCGCCCCCTATGGCTGGCAGTGTCCCAGGAAAGGAGCACATGGCTGTCAGGTTTTGGAGGGCCAGCTTTATCCAGTGCACACCCCTGTAGACAATGGCTCCTGCTCTGTGAAGTCACCTGTCCATCACCGACCTGAGCACCAGAGGGAGGAGCCCATCTAAGAGTCCAGGCTCAACTTTTCAGCATATGGAGAAAGATACAGCAGCTTAATTTACTGCAGGCCAGGAGCGAAGGAACTCTCAGTTCTGTAGCTTCAGGTCTTTCCCCTCACCCCACTCTGGTAAGGTTCCCAAGTCACTAGGGTTCCCTTCAGGTCCAAAGTCCAAGCTCCAAGACCAATGGGAGTTCAAGGAAAGTTTTCTCTCTCTCTCTCTCTCTCTCTCTCTCTCTCTCTGTGTGTGTGTGTGTGTGTGTGTGTGTGTTAAATTTCCTTTTTTGTTTTTTTCGATACAGGGTCTCGCTATGTAGCCTGGGCTGAACTGGAACTCAGGATCCTCCTGCCTTAGCCTCCTGATTGCTGGAATTACAGATGTATACTCCAGCTTTTTATTTGTTTTAATGTGGCTGCTGGGAGTTGTTCTTTTTTTTTTAATTTTTTTATTATTCATATGTGCATACAATGCTTGGGTCATTTCTCTCCCCTGCCCCCACCCCCTCCCTTACTACCCACCCCACCCCCTCCCTCTCCCCCCCACCACCCTCGATGCCCAGCAGAAACTATTTTGCCCTTATCTCTAATTTTGTTGAAGACAGAGTATAAGCAATAATAGGAAGGAACAAGGATTTTTGCTAGTTGAGATAAGGATAGCCATACAGGGAGTTGACTCACATTAATTTCCTGTGCATGTGTGTTACTTTCTAGGTTAATTCTTCTTGATCTAATCTTTTCTCTAGTTCCTGTCCCCTTCTCCTATTGGCCTCAGTTGCTTTTAAGGTATCTGCTTTAGTTTCTCTGCGTTGAGGGCAACAAATGCTAGCTAATTTTTTAGGTGTTTTTAAGTGGTGTATGTGCTCTGTGTTTCTATTTTCATTACACAGCAGTGCAGAGCTTTGCCAGAGCTGGCCAGGTCCCAGCCAGTCCTAGAGCTGGCACCCTGTTACACACACGAGGAAGGCAAGGCTGGGTGCATGGCTGACCCAGTGCTTGAGTGGATGGACAAGGCCCCTCAGCTGTAACCTGATGGCTGTCTTCCTGAGCTGTGACCGCAACCATTTGCTGCCTGCCTCTCCTGGGAAGTTCACACTTACCTCAGGGGTACCACAGAAGGTGGATGTGGTCTCCTCAGGCTCTACACCTTCCTTACAAAGCCCAAAGTCTGTCAGAACCACATGTCCCTGAGGGTGAGAGACGAGAGGGTTGGGGAGCCTAGAGTGGTCTCAGCCCAGGGTAGCTCCACCATGACTTACCGAGCAGCAAACCCCTTGACAGAGGGCTGCAAACTCAGAAAGTAAGAGCCCTGTGGCAGTTGGAAGGGCATAGATATAGCAGGGCTCTGCCTAGGCACTTCTGCACCTCTGTTGGGGCTGCCATGCCTGTTCCCCATGGCTGAGACAGTGCCCTTGCCCAAAGTTATGCCCCTCCCCAAGGGAAAACCACATCCAATGACAGGAAGATGCAGGGGCTCAGAGGCCCAGCCTCCTGGCCTCAATTTGGGACTATCCCAAAAAGCTGTCTCATTGAGGCCTCACCCCTGTTAAGCCAGTTGAGGCCTCCCTTGCAACCATAGTGCAGGTGAGCTGCTTTCTCTCCCCAGCCCATCTTCTCCACCCTCTAAAGCTGAATCTCTTCAGAATGCTTGCCATTAGGCCCACAGCACCTCTCCAACTTAGTCTCTCCCTGGGACCTGGGCCAAGACATGGAAAGACTACAAAATCAACCAGCCCTCACCTAGCTCCACCCCTTCCCCACACAGACCTTGCCTACACACACACATGCACGTATATCGACATGTACAAGGTCCCCTGTGCACATAATCCCATATACGTGTACACGTGTATGGGTTCACATGCATATACATGCAGGAATGCATGCTCCATCCATATGCAGGCATATACAATACATGCACACCTGTGCACACGGGCTTGGTCAGACAGCACATGTGTAAGCCATGTCGACCCTGCCCCCTTACCAACCTGGCAATCCAAAAGGATATTCTCTGGTTTCAGGTCCCTGCAGAAAATAAGAGAAAACAGCCTGGTGGAGTCTCAGCCACTTAGTGAGAGAGTTGGGGATCCAGGACCTGGTGGAAGGACTATTCATGGAAGCCCCCAGAGGTGCAGAGGGACAGTCAGGGAGTATGGACACTGGGCTCTAGGAAGGCGGACACCCCAACCCTACCCCAGCTGCTGGGTCCTCCTCAGACAAAGGACCAAGTTCACCAGGATGTCATGGAATACCACCCTTAGCTGTTGGAGCAAGAAGAGCCTGGGAGTGGTCCTAAACCGGGGTAGACCTCACCTGTAAATGATGTTGAGGGAGTGCAGGTAGCCAATGGCACTGGCCACCTCCGCAGCATAGAACCGGGCCCGGGGCTCCAGGAACCTGCGCTCCCGCTGCAGGTGGAAGAAGAGCTGGGGAGGAGGCAGTGAGAGGGTTACTGGGCTCCAGCTTCTAGAGCAGAGGGCAGGGGCCTGCAGGCCCCTAGAGTGCCCAGGGCACTCGTACAAAGAGTGCACGCCAGTCTCCCCCCACCACACACACATACACCCAGAGCAGTCACATGCCCGAAATGTCAGCCAGAGGAGAGATTAGTTAGCATTGATTAAGCCCCTTCTGTGTTCCAGCCTCCAGGCAAGGCCTTTTCCCATGCATTAATGCAATCCTTATGACAACCTTCAACATCTCAAATATGCCAGTTTCACATAAGAGGAAACTGAGAGGGTAGGACAGTTAGGTGACTTGCCCGAGGTCATGTAGCTCATAGTTGACATGGCTGGAATTTGAAACTGGGTGATTCAAATATGTGCTTTTCACTAGACATGGTGACGCACACCTGGAATCTCAGCTATGTGGGAGGTGGAGGCTGGGACGATCTCGGTTCAAGACCAGTCAGGGTAAAAAGTTAGCGAGACCCCCATCTCAACAAACAAGCTGGGCATCGTGGCATGGTGTTATGTGCCTGTCATTCCAGGTAGGAGGGAGGTTTAGGGAGGAGGATTGAGGTCCAGGCTGGCCCTGGGCAAAGACTTAAGACCCTACCTGAAAAACAACAAAAGCAAATGAGTTGGAGAGTGTTCAAGTGATAGAGTACCTGCCCGCAAGCACGAGGCCCTAAGTCAGACCCAGGGATTATCAAAAACAAAAAAACAAGTGCTTTTCCTCAATCAATGCCATATGATTGTGGCTGTCACACTGAGTTCAGGTTAGATCTCCCCATAAGCCAATGGCTTGGCCTATTTTTTTTTTTTTGGCGGCCTTGGGGTTTGAACTCAGGGCCTCATGCTTGCTAGGCAGGTGCTCTTAACTGCTTGAAGCAGCCCATCTTGGCCTATTTTGTTAGCACACAAAACCTTCAGTTAGGGATGGAGGACAAAGACTCCTCTCGTGACATCACACGGAAAGGCATTTGATCACACAGGTTCAATCTGGGGTCACTAAGGAGTCCCACTGAATTTTGCCACCTTGTCCATTGAGAGAGAGTGCAGTCCAAGAAGGAGCCCAGTTTGTCCCAGCCATGCTTCTGGGTCACTAGGTGGCTCAGGTCTCTGTTTATGACAGTGACAGCTATCCCCCTGCCCTGTGGCCTGTGGTGCAAACTGGAATATTGAAAATCGTGACTATTTAGCTTCTCTTAGCATTGCTTTTTCCCGGGTTTGTGGAAGTGAGTCTGTGGACAGCTTAGGGAGAGGAAGGCAAGGAAGCATTGGGGTGGAGAACCAGATGGACATACATTCAAATCTTGGTATGGACAGGATGGCTGTGAGAAGTGTTTTACCTCCCCGAGCCTCAGTTTCTCCAACTACTAAGTGGGTATGTTACATGGTGCAGGGAGGCCATCTCAGAGCTTGGTGCACAGCAGGTGGGTGGGATGGACCAGCCCACAAGAGTCTCCCCAAAGCCCCGCTCACCTCTCCCCCATTGACATAGTCCAGCACGAAGTAAAGCTTCTCGGGGGTCTGGAAGGAGTAGCGCAGGCCCACGAGGAAAGGGTGCTGCACGTTCTTCAGCAGCACATTGCGCTCTGCCATGATGTGGTTCTGCTGAGGATTCACACAGACAGGGGAGCCTGTCACAGCCCTCTAATCCCAGCACAGTCTGCATGACCTTGCTGGTAGGGGTTGGGGTTGTCCGACCCAGGACTGCCTGACATCTCTGCTCAAACACCCACAAAGGCTCCCTATTGCCCTCAGAGCCAGGCCTGGCCTCCTTGCCTAGTATTTAGAGCTATGGCTATTCAGGGCTATAGAAAAGCATAGATGATGACTTATAAATGAGCCCCAGGAAAAATCTCTAGAGAAAAAAAAGGCCACGCACTACCCATATTCATGCTTTTGTTCGCCCTCTTTCCTGGCTTAGATGTCCTACCCTCTTTTCAGACCACAGAATGCTACTGCCAAAGCCAGCTGCAAAGCCACCTCCCTCAGGAAGACCTCACCACCGCCTCCACAATGCCCTTGTTAGCATGAGCCACTCTCACTCCTCAGTCCTTTCTCTTTGTCTTCTAATGGGTACTGAGGGACTCAAGTCGGCCACAACATCTAGACATCCAGGCTGGCCATGGCTTGAGGGCCTATGAAGTGTGACCCCCACCCCCACACCTTGTGCAGATGGAGAGGGCAGAAGACTTGCCCATCAACGGCCCTGTCTTTCCCATGGGAAGGCAGAGGCCCAGCCAGTCCTCCTGAAAGCTCCCTAGTGAGATGGCCTGGCCTGTCTTCCTTGAGAAGGGTCTGCATCCTGTGTACCAGCTAGACCCCTGCTGGAACCACGTCTGCCCCCAGCTCCATGGTCTCCTTGGAGGTGGGGTCCATCTTGAGAATCCCTGCTAGCCTGGAGGTCAAGAGGTGGGAGAGGAAGTGCCCACGCCAGAGTTCTGGTACCTCTTTGTTCTTCAAGATGGACTTTTTCTGCAGCACCTTTACTGCATAGAACATCCCGTCAGACTTGCGCTTGGCCAGTAGGACCTGAGCAGAAGCACAAATGTAGGGCCCCCTGGGTGACTCTGGATTTCCTGAGGGCAGGACAAGGGCCTGCAGCCTGAGTCCTGCACCCATTTGACAAACTGTGAGTCCTCTTTTTTGCACATACTAGAGGTAGGCAGTGAGTAGAGGGGGCAGGTAGTTGGTGGAGTGGGGACCCAAGCCTTCCACTCTCACCTTCTCACTCACCTTTCCATAATTCCCTTTGCCAATGACTTTGAGGAAGTCGAAGTCTGTGGGTCGGGCACTGGGGGATGAGGGAAGAATATGGGTCAGAATTTGCCAGTCCAGGAAAATCTGAGAGCAAATCCAAGTGTCTATTTACCTGAGGAGCTACGAAATGTGGGCCACCATCCAGGAGCCACACCTGGTCCCTGAAGACTGTCAGGTCCTCCCAGCCCAGAAAAGCTTCTAAGACTCTCCCCTATCCCCAGAGAGCTTACAGTCCAGTCAAAAACAGGACCAGAAGAGAGAAAACCAGTTTCACTGCATGGAATGCAGGATCTGGTCCCCCAATCCCTGTGAAGCACCTGAGGATAGGAAGTTGCTGATAATGTAGATGTTGGGGGGCACTCCAGGCAGAAGGCTCAGCATGGGTCAAGGCCAGGGAATTAGTGGAGGATGAAAATGGGGGAGGGTCCTGGCCCAGACAGTAAAGGACACTGAATACCCACCAGAAACCTTGGGCTTTATTTCCAAGGCAAGGAGAGCCAAGTAGGAAAGTCACGTGAGAGACCAGAACTCACTTTGGATTGGCTGAAGGCCCCAGGTTGATGTTCCCATGGGCCCTGGAGGGCTGAAGACATTTAAAGACAGAGGTGATTAAGATCTGTAAGCTCTCTCCCCCTGGCTCAGGCCCTGGGCTGTTCCACATCTCTATTAACTGCCTCCCTCTCTTTCTTCCTTCTTTTGTTTCTCTCTACCCTTCACCCACCCACCTACCCATCCCTCAATCATCCAGCCACCCAGCATCTCACCGGCTGCTCACAACAGCCTTGGGAAGATGCTGGCTGCGGTGACAATTTTAAGGGGAGAAAATTGGCAGCTCCAGAGAGGAGCTGCCCAAGGTCTTCCAGGCAACCAAGCTGAGATTTCTTTCCTTTTTTCCTCCCTTCCCCTACTCTCCCCTCCCCTCCCCTCCCTCCCCTCCTTCCCCTCCTTCCATCCCTCTTCCTCCCTTCCATGTGTGTTACTGGCTTCACACTTGCTAGCCATGGACTTTACCACTTGAGCCACACTCCAGGACTAGGCTGATATTTGAACCCACATGTCTTCACAATCAGTCCAATCATTTTCCACTCCATCCACTCTTGAAGCCCTTGCCCAACTCTTTCCATAATTTTCCCTGCCATGGCCAACCTCCGTGAATGCACAGTGACCTGGTGGTGCCCAGTCCTGATCTAGGATGGCTCATGAAACTGTCCGATATCTCTACTGAGTTCCACAGACTTGGGAGGAAAGGAGCCTCCTGGTGCTGGGTCAGAGACTAGGAACCACTCACCTGAGGGCTAGGGATCCCGGTAGGGCTACAGGCCATTCTATAGCCGTGAAAAGGTAGGCTCTAGGGACACAGGGAGGAACAGCATGAGAGAGCCCTCACCCAAGGCTTCAGGCATGGCTGCCCTCTCCCTCCTCCCCAACCCCAAACCCATCTGAGCAGCTCCTACCCCAGAGGCCAATAACTCCTGCATGGATAGGACAAGACCAGCCTTTCTCACCAAACATCTCAGGAGGTATGGAGGGGATAGTCCAGGTTGGCCTCAACCAGGCAGGGTCTTTTCAAGGGTTGGGGACAACCAGGGAACCAAGACCCTTTTGAACCATGGCAGCTCCACAACTCCAAGGTGGTTAAGACAGGAGGACCCTAAAGTGAACCCTACATGCCACTACACCCAGTTTTAGAAAAGCACTTTCTAGGCCAGGCATGGTGGTATACACCTGTAATCCCAGCTACTTTGGTGGCAGAGCTAGGAGGACCATGGCTTGAGGCCAGTGTGTGTGTGTGTGGTGGGGAGTTATTGAGACCCTATCTCAAAAAACAATCTGGGTGTGGTGGTATGTGTCTGTAATCCCAGCTATTTGGGAGGTGGTAGTAGAGGAATCAAAGTCTGAGTCTGGCTCTGGGCAAAAAGGCACAAGAGCTTCTCAAAAATAAAGAGGGCCTGAGGGCATGGCTGAAGTGGTATACTGCTTACTAAAAGGTCCTGAGTTCAATCCACAGCATTGCCAAAAAAAAAAAAAAAAAAAAGCACTTTCAAGGATCCCACAGCTTGTGAAAGGCAGACTCCCATATAGGCATATTTGCAGTCCCAAATTTCTGTGCACAGTCCTAGGCTGGAACTTGTGCTGACTGATCTCCTTGCCACAGAACTTCCACCCAGTACCTAGGAATAGCAGCTGCCCTGGGGGTCTTGGACTGGAGCCAGGGAAGTCCCAAACCTAGCCAGTGTCTATCTGAGATCAGGCAGAGGACAGAGTGACCAGCTGGTCTATGCAGCCAGCAGCATGGTGTTTTCTCTGCCCTTACCCATCAGTGTGGAAGAAGCTAGGTGTTCAGCTCTGGTTCAGGGGCTCAGCCCCCACAGTCCCTCCATCTCCCACAGGGGGTGGTAGAAATTGTACATCCCAAGACACAGGTTTGGCTCATTGTGAGGCCTGGGCTTATAGCCTGACTCTGGGGGTAGAGGCCATTCACTATACAGGGGCCATCCTGGAGTCTGCCACCCCATGGCTTTCTTGGAAGCCAAGAAAGTGACTACAGAGGAAAGGAGGGAATCCCCTAGCTAGGCTGATCTGAGAGTTCTGCCCTGCCTTCCTGCCTCTCCTTCTGCAGAACTACAGAAGACGGAGTGCAACCTGGCTTCACCAAGGCCCATCGGGCTGTGCTCCCATACCCCCACCCCCTGCCACACCACCATCCCCCTCTCTGAGCTGGCTCCAATGGCTCCTGTGCCAGGCCCCAGCCTCCCTGGTTCTGCATACCTGTGCAGCCCGATGAGAGGACTCCGGGAGAAGCAGCGGGTGGAGCAGAGCACAGGCAGTGGACAAGAGCCTCTTTCTGTTCTCCCAACAAGGGCCGAGTGTCAGTGCCTGGTGCCTTCAGCACACAGCCCAGAACTTCCGGCAGCGAGGGGGCTGGTTGATGTCACCCGGGATCCAGCAGAGCTTAAGATGGGATGGCAGACCTCTGTTGCCTCAGGGACACCATCTCCCCCTGGGGAATGAAAGGGGGTAGGCGAGAGCCCCAGGAGAGCCTGAAGTCCCCTGGGCTTGTAGAAAGAGTGTGAGTCAGGTGCATGCTGTGCACAAGTGTTTTGGGCACAGATGTGCTTTGTTGTGTCTCTCTAGTGTGTCTGTGTAACCCTGCATTTCAGGTATTTGTGTCCGTGTGTGTGTCTGTGTAGGGGAGAATGCCTGCTCGTGTCAGTGTGACCATGTTCAGACACGTATGTGTGTCTGAGCATTCATGAGTGCAAGCATCATGGTGTTCCTTGGTGTGTGTGTGCTGTGAATGTGAGTGTGTTTCAGTGTGCTGCCCTATACTCGTGTCAGTGTGTTTTGTAAGTGTACTTGTGAGCATGCTTGGGGGGGGGGGCAGGGCGGTGAGCGTGAGCCTGCATGCAGTATCTACGTGTTTGTCAGCAGAGGAGTATGAGGATCTATTAGTATGTGTGTGTGGTCACCACATATATGTGCACAGGTACACCGCTGTGTGCCTGTGTCCACACTGGTGCATATCAGCAAATTTTTGTTTAAGTGTGTATGTGCACATATGCACATGTGTAGGGGACCTGTCTGTAAGAACATAGGATCCCAGGGGCCGATTCAGGCACTGTGTAGATCCCAGGGCTGAAGAAGAGACCTCAGAGACTGGGCTGTAGCCACGGGGCTCACTCCACTCCCAAGATGCCCACAGATGTCTCAGATCGGCTGGAGACAGGTCTCCTTCAGCAGCCCAGGTTTTTGACCGTTGGGCACTTGGACCCTAAGGTCTTCCCTATTGCCCTTCAACAGCTCTGGTCCACTGCCCTGGGGCAGGCATGGTTGACTTATGTAAGAACTAGGCAGAATCCCCAGGGGCACGCTGGTCCATGAAGGCCTTGCTGTCTGATGTGATGATCAGGTTGTCATAGAGTCCCTTCCTCTCTGCAGGGTCTCTCTGTAGGTGTTCTAGGGAATGAAGGAGTTGATGGGCCCAACACAGCCCCTGGTCTTCTAGAATTTTCTGTATAGCTACACAACCCACTATAGAGGAGAGGTCACAGGCTAGAGCAGAGGAGGCTGGTGGCTCAGGGATTCTCTATAGGCTCTGAAATACAGGGAACCTGGAAGTGCTGGCCTGAGAAAGCTTGAGCAAACAGCATCAGATTCTTTCATTGTTTCACAAAATAGAAATGTTGAACCAATACACAGATATGCAGGATGCCATGTTGACAAAACATTTCAAGGACATTTTCTTTTCAGTAAGTCCCTGATGGGATCGTCACTTGGCAGCACTGTTCAGAAGAGCAAAATTATTTATAATAACTTAACTATCTGCCCAAAGGACACTTCGTTATACATGCTGGCCATAGTGGCTCCTACCCTTGACCTTCACCCCTGCCCAGATACTGCTCCATTTCTCTGTTCTCTTTTTCAGTTAAACTCCTGGCTGGACTCATCTACACTCCTTTTCCTTTCCTCTCCTGAATCTATTCCAGATGGGCTTCCATCCCAACACTCTATTGAATCAGGGGACAGCAGCCTCATGTGCCAAAGCCAGCGAGGAGTCCTCCATCCTGTTACTCAACCTCTCTGCCTGGCACACTCCCTCTACCCACTTAGCATTTGGAGCTCCTGGGCTTCCTCTGGCTCACTGGCTGCTCCTTTTCCATCTCTTGTATTAGGTTCTCTTCCTCTTTTTGTCCTTCAGCACTGGCTGAGTCCTTGGATCTCTATTTATACTTGCCCCTTAGTTGATCAAAACCAGTTTAATGGCTTAACTGACAATATTCGCTGGTACCTGATTTATTTTTTTAGTTCTGATTCTCTCCCTAACTTTGAATGTACATATCTATGTTTCTTTGACAATTCACTAGGTGGATATCTAGAGGTGTCTCAATAGTAACATGTCCAAAACAAACATCTAGATTTTCATTCCTTCCACTCTGTCCCAGCCTGCTCCTCCCTCAGTCTTCCATCTCAGTAATGGCACTATCACCTACTCAAAAGTTTAAGGTAGGACTAGAGCTGTGGCCTAAATGGTAGTGAACTCACCTAGCAAGTGCAAGACCCTAAGTTCAAACCCTAGTATTGAAAAAAAAGTTCAAGGTAGAAACTTGGAATCCATTCTAGGTGATGGGTATGCAACATATCCTGATTTGATCATTATACAATGTATACATGTATCAGAACATCACACAGTACCCTATACAGATGGACAATTATCATGTGACAATTTAAAAAATAAAATTTATATGTGCATATGTATTTGATCCCCAGATCTCCATGCTGCAGCCACTGGCCCAAGCTGCCAGCTTTGCTTACATGTGTTAATACAACAGCTTCTCCACTCACTTCCTGCTTCCGCCTTTCTCCATTGAAAGCCAGGGCGAGTTTTCTAAAATGTAAATCAGATCATGTGCCTTTGTTGCTTCAAAACTCCAGTGGCTTCCCATCACACCCAGAATTAAAGCCCTGAGTCTCTACCATGGTCTATGATGAGATATCATACACCTGCCTCCCGGCTTCATCTCCACCCTGCTATCCATTGCTCTGCCTCCCTGGCTGTCCCAGGGGCATCCACCTTTCCCCAGTCCAGCCCCTCTGGCTGTCTCTCACTGTCCCTTTAGCTCCCAGCCTCTGTGTGCCCTTTCCCTCTGCCTGAAAGCTCTTCCCCAACATCTGCGTGACTGGTTTCTACGAACACAGCAGAGGTCTCTGCTTCAGTGTCACCTCTTGGAGAGGCCTGCGCTGATTCCTGGTGACAGGTTGTCCTCGTCTGTCAGGCTATCAGTCATAAACCAGGATGGTTAGTCCCTCTACAACAGCCATCTGCTCATTCCTATGCAATTTTTCTGTTTCATATTCTGCCACTTTATCCTGCCACTATTTAAATGTTTTTATTTTCTGTCTTAAACTGTGACATCATCTCCCAAGGGCAAAGACTTTTCTTATTCATTATTGAAACCTCAACTCCTAGACTGGCCTTGGAACACAGTAGGTTCTCAGAACATATTTGACTAGTGAAACCAAGGCATGGACTGATAAATTATGGTACAAAATAACACGCAAAATGTAAAATTACACAACTCCAAACTCTATTTATATAAGTCTATATAAATCAAGATAGGAGCATATATCTGATGTAACATCAAGCAAAAAAGCAAGTTTCAAAGTGGTAGGGACAGTAGGAGTACCAATTTTGTAAAAGTTTAAAAAAAGACAAGTATGTGCATGTAGGTTTGTGTGAATAGCCACAAAAAGCAGGAGGCCATGCCAGAAGATTATTTTTATCTTTGACCTACTATGTAACGTTTTCCATGATATTGCTGTTAA